AAGCTGAAACTCCAATACTTTGGCCACCTCATGCGAAGAGTTGACTCATTGGAAAAGACCCTGATGCTGGGAGGGATTGGGGGCAGGAGGAGAAGGGGGCGATAGAGGATGAGATAGCTGGATGGCATCACCAACTTGATGGACATGAGTTTGGGTAAACTCCGGGAGTTTGTGATGGACAGGGAGGCATGGCATGCTGTGATTCATGGGGTCACGAAGAGTCAGACATGACTGAGCAACTGATCTGAACTGAACTGAACTGAATGCATATGTATGGAATTTAGAAAGATGGTTACCATGACCCTATATGCGAGACAGTGAAAAAGACACAGATGCATAGAACAGTCTTCTGGACTCTGTAGGAGAAGGCAAGCGTGGGATGATTTGAGAGTATAGCTTTGAAACATGTATATTATCATATGTGAAACAGATTGCCAGTCCAGGTTCTATGCATGAGATCAGGTGCTCAGGGCTGGTGCACTGGGATGACCCTGAGGGATGGGATGAGGAGGGAGCTGGGAGGGGGGTTCAGGATGAGGAACACATGTACACCCATGGCTGATTCATGTCAATATGTGGCAAAAAACCACTACAATATTGTAAAGTAATTAGCCTCCAATTAAAATAAATTAATTAACAACAACAAAAAAGAAGATACACTGATGGCAAATAAGTACATAAAGTTGCTTAACACCATTAGTCATTAGGAAAATTCAAATTAAAGCTACACTGAGCTATCACTACATAGTAATTAAAATGGCTGATTAAAAAACCCTGACAACTCCAAACGCTGATGAAGAGGCAGAAACAACTAGACCTCTAATACATGTCTGGGGGGAACACACTGGAAAATATTTTGACTTGGTAATATTTTAATGAAATTAAACATATACTTATCATAGTATTTAGTAATGTCACTCCAAGGAATCAAAGAGAAATAAAAATTAATCTTTGCAGAAAAATTTGTGTGCAATCATTGTGTTTACTTGAGTTTATAGTATAATTATGAATAGAAATGGTGAGAGTGGACATTCTTGCCTTTTTGTTTGTAGCCTTGAGTTTATACAACCTTGTCTTAATTACTATAGCCTTGTAATAATTATTAGTACATTGTAGAAAGCTATGTTTTCTTTTCTATAAAAATCCATGGCTTCTCTTGGCCCTTTCTATTTCTATATTAATTTTATACTCAATTTGTGAAGATCCACTCAAAATATGAAGAGGTATTTGATTGGAATTACATAAATTAACTTAGAAAGAATGAAATTTATATAATATTGAAAATTCCAATCCATAAATTTGGACTTTCTCTCCATTAATTCTAGTCTTTATTGACTCTGTAACAAAATTTTATAATTTTCCCTGTGCAGGTCTTTCATATCTTTTGTCATGTTTTCCTAGGTATTTGTTTCTATGCTACTGTATAGTTAGTATGCTTTCTTCTTCTTTTTACTTGAAAGGAAAGAGAAAATAATATTTTCTGATTTATTTTTAAAATTCAGTTTTCAAGACCCATCAAAAATGTGCTTATATGACAATCTCTTCAAAATATCTATCAGGATATTAACAAGACAACTATATCTTTTCTTTTATGCTTTAATTGAGATCTGATTGACATACAACATTATGTTAGTTTTTAGTGTATAACATAATGATTCAATATTTGTTATATATTGTGAAATGATCATTGTAAGTTGCGATAATATCCAGCCTTGCTTTTGGTCTTAAGGGAAGGACATTCAGTCTTTTAACATTAAGTAGAGAGTTAGCTGTAGGTTTTTTACAGATGCCCTTTATTGGATTAAGGAAATCCTATTTCCCATTTTGCTGAAAAGAATAGATGCTGAATTTTGTCAAGTTCTTCTTATACAACAATTGAGATGATCATATGATTTCCTTCTCTAATGTTCTGATCTGGGAAACGATATTGATTCATTTTTAAATGTTGGACCAACCTTGTATTTCTAGCATAAACTCCACTTGATTATTATGGGTTATCCTTTTAAATATACCTCTAGATTGAATTTACTTATATTTTATTGATAATTTTAGCATCTGTTCTCATGGGAAATGGTGTCATGTGGTTTTCTTTTCTTTTAATGCCTTTGTTTGGACCTGGTTCGGGGTAATAGTGATTTAGTAAGCTGAGCTGGAAAGTGTTCTCTCCTCTTCTGTTTTCTGGTAGAGCTTGGGCATGACTGACATCTACTCTCTAAATGTTTGGTTGATTTTGTAAATGAAATTACCTAGGCCTGATTTTCCTTTGTTGGCAGCTACTGTATTGTGTTTTGATGAGGATTTGGGGCTTTAGAATTGAACAACCACAAATTCATGTGTAACTATTCATTTCTCCCTATATTCTCTTTGAACTTCAGTTTCTTCATCTGTAAAATGGGTCATTGTGAGATTAAATAACAATATATATCAGTTGGTTATCACTGTGATATATATACTACATTTGTATATTTTAACTTATTCACATTTTAATATTATAGTACTTACTACTTTTACAGATAAGAAAACTATTACAAAACATGAGTTTGAGTAAACTCCGGGAGTTGGTGGTGGACAGGGAAGCCTGGCATGCTGCAGTTCATGGGGTCACAAAGAGTCATGACTGAGTGACTGAACTGACCTGATTGTTATTCATAACACAAATTAATATAACTTTGAACAAAGTCAAGTACTTCAAAATATTTTCAACCTGTCAAAGACATTTTATTATAGACAATCAAGTACGTTGTATTGAAAATTTATCACAGTGAAATTCCATACATATTTAGTGAACTTAAAAAAGTGATATTGTGAACATCAAACTTTACTAGGAATAGCAACTTGAATTTTTGCCCTTGTTCAACTTTGTACTTTTGTGTAATTCTAGTAATTAAACTTCTCAAAAAGTTTGCAAATCCTTACAATAGTAAAAGGAAGAGTATCTGTTTCTACCACTTTGATATTAGTTGTTGAGTGGCCTAAAAAGAGAAGTATTTGAACATTCTTGGAAGAATTTAGCTAGGACTAATATTAAATATAAATATTTAGTGTTATAGCTTAAAAATTAGAATCTTTTATATTAACATTAAGTATTATGTAAGTATTTTGATTTGACTGTGAACATTGTATTAACTGTGACTTCATACAGATAAGATGCCATTAATTTCAGGTTTTCAGATCTTCATGGTGATTAGGCTTAGCATATTTATTTATTTATTTTGGCCCATGAGATGATGACTACCATATGCCAAAACATTAGGTTCTTTTATTTACTTGAAAATTATAAAGAATAATCTAAAAAGTAGAATCACAAGTTCAAAAGTGCTTTGTCCTATCTTTCGGTCAGCAAGACTTATTTTAATATTTTTAATGATAGATTTTATTATGTCAATACATATAGCATAATGGCATAATGTATGTACACCATTAATGAAAACTGGGAATGGTTCAGAATATTGTACATGGGGCATTTTGACAGGGAAAGACAAGAAAAACTTTCTCTTGTGAATTGTAATAGTTTTTTTGTTATTTTGTTTTCTGCAGAATGTTGAAAGCTAAGGAACAGTGCTGTGCTAATTCTGGAAAAATATAATAAAATTGCTTTGTTTTTTTAATTGTAGCTGACTTTGGCCTGGCAAAGCAAAAACAAGAAAGCAGTAGACTTACATCTGTTGTGGGAACAATTCTGTATTCCTGGTAAGGACAGTTATTTTATGGTCCTCAAACATCATTCTTAACTGGTTTGGGCTTTCATTTCTTTTCTTGGTATGCAAAGGAAAGACATTTACCTCTAATAAGTTCTCTTCAATTAGCCAGGTAATACACATGTGTAGAATCATGCCATTACATATTTAAAATAACCAACTATATCTTTCCTTTAAGGTAACTCTGCCCCTCAATTACTTGTAATTGAAATGATCCTCAGCACACAACAGGTGTACAAAACTTGTTGAATGAATCTGTGAATGAACTAGTAGACTTGGTTTGCAACATGACACTTAGAACATTTAATTGCATCTATTGAATACATGATTCTTTTATTCATCTATAGATATTCAAGGTCAAAGAAAAGGTTTTTAAAGTCCTAATGCTTGTCCTAGCATCTGGCAAATAATAGGTTCAGAATAAATTTTATTATGTGAATGAATAAATGATGATATATTTACTTATACATATATTTACAAAGTTGGTTGCTTCTTGGGTAAGTGAGTGTTATTTTGATGAATTGAGACTCTTTAGCATGGTTTTAGGGTTCCTTTGCAATTCATTAATTATCATGAAGTGAGAATCTTCCTATGCTGATCATATATCATTTGTTCTGAATCTGTCAAACAGATATGGTAGTCTGTAGATGCAGCAGATTTCAGGGAAATATTCTGAAATCTCATTCATCAGGTCAAACAATCAAGACACTTCAATCTTTGTTTTTTAATCTAGTCTATTGCACAACAGAGCCCTGGGGATAGGGTTCAGAATAAATCTCCAAGGAGGGTGGAAGTTGGAAATAACAGCCCTTTTTTACAAAGTTATTTCATACAAGAATATGTCAAGTAGTATTTTTGAGGGATCAATTTTCATTTATTTGGCTAGTGTTATTGAAACTAGCTTCAGGAGAAGATGCAGAGACTGGTGGACCAGTCTACGATTGTACCTTGAAAACTGAAGTTTTATCTGTGCACTTAATCTCTTAATAATAAGGATGTGACTCAACTACTACTTGTTGCTGGTAAAATAATTTTCTTTTGTTCTACTTCTTACTCTTTTTCAGAAATAATAAAAACTTAATCACAAAAGTCTTAAGTAATCATATATTCCTGAACAAGTAAAATGCAAACTAAAAGTAAGCAGATTTATTTCCGAGACTGTGAATTAATAAGTTTAGAATTGCTAATATGATAATTTTGTGTGTGTGTGTTGAGGTGGGGGGGGGCAGGAGATCTGTACAATATATAAGAAGAAATCTAAAACATGACAATTATTTTGTCTTATTAGCCCAAAGATAGATTCACGTTTCCTTTTAACTTTTAAATTACCTATAGAGTTAGGAAAGCTGAACCTCTTAATATGGTTAAGCTATTGTTTCATTTAGGAATATCACAAATATATGACCATAAAGCTCTTTTTAAAAAAAGCTCTCTTTAAAAAAAACTGCTTTAAAATTTTTACTTCTACTCCCTTATCCCACTTTCCTCTTTCCTGGTTGTTAGAATTGTTTTTCCAAAAGACAAGGATCTAAGTGAAATAGTTTATTTAGCAGGTGGTCCCATGAAATACTAGGGGGCTGGGGAGGGAATGAGACACAGAAGAGAAGAGAAAGCAGCCAGTAAGGAACTATTAATAATCAGATCTGTAGATTGTGATCTGGGATATAGTACATGAGATGTTTCAGAGTGGTCCTATATACCAAATGAAAGGTAGGAATTTTTCTTCTTTTCCCAGCCACAAGTGGTTGAGGACTATTCCATTGACCTTTAGACACTCCTGGCCTCCTGGGGTGGGGGCTGGGTGGAAGCCCCCAGGTAGAGAGTCATGTGTGATGTTAAGGATATGCACTGGAAATGTCAGCTGTATAAACTCTTAAATTTTTATTGTTCAAAATTTAAGATGGTTCCTAATACATCATTTCACAAGTCCAGCTACTTTTGAATTTTCTTATAACCTTCTCTTCGGGCTTTCTCTGAGTTTGTGAATATGACAAAAGTAAAACCAATATCTTTCACAGTCTCTGCCTTGATACTTGCACCTTCATGCCTATTCCCCTCCACATTCTGTAGTTGTTTTTGTTCAGTTGCCAAGTCATATCTGACTAACTGTTGCTTCCTGACCTGCATACAGGTTTCTCAAGAGGCAGGTCAGGTGGTCTGGTATTCCCATCTCTTTCAGAATTTTCTACAGTTTGTAGTGACCCAGTGAGTAGTCAAGGTTGATTTCCTTTAAGACTGACTGGTTTGATGTCATTGCTCTCCAAGAGACTCTCAGGAGTCTTCTCCAGCACCACAGTTCAAAAGCATAAATTCTTCATTACTCTGGCTTCTTTAGGGTCCAACTCTCACAACTGTATATAACTATTGAGAAGACCATAGCTTTGATTCACAGACCTTTGCCGGCAAGGTGATGTCTTTGCTTTTTAACACACTGTCTAGGTTTTTCGAGGCTTTCCTGCCAAGAAGCAGTCATCTTCTAATTTCATGGCTGCAGTCACCATCCGTGGTGATTTTAGAGCCCAAGAAGAGGAAACCCGTCACTGCTTACACCTTCTCTCCTGTTTTTCATGAAGTGATGGGACTGGATGCTGTGATCTTTGTTTTTTGAATATTTAGTTTTAAGCAGGCTTTTTCACTCTCCTCCTTCACCCTCATCAAGAGATTCTTTAGTTCCTTTTCACTTTCTGCCATTAGAGTGCTGTCATTTGCATATCTGAAGTTGTCAATAGTTCATGTTCTGTAATCTCTGTGTGATTTTTATAAACTCCTTTGAGCCAATTAATTTGACCTGGAATGCCTCATTCAAGCTCCCCTGAGTTTAATGAGCTTGATCTTCCCATATCAGTTTACTCTTTCTTTTTACCTTTGTTTGTTCACGTATTAACTTATTTAACAGAAGAAAGTTCTTTCTCAACATTTACAGGCAGTACCTCAGAGCATTCTTTATTCTGAATCTCAGCTGCTAGATAAGTGGTTGTGGGCACTGGATTGATTGTGATGGAACAGAAATTTCATAAAATTTCTTTATCTGATTGGATTCATTATTAGGTAGGTCTTTATTATCTTTTTCATGGAAAATAATCTCCAAATATAATCTTTGGTTATGTTTTTTATCTCTATGTTTTACTCCAATTCCAGAGTCTTAAAATTGTGTAATTCCTTCAACTTCATTTTCAGAGCAGATTTTAGAGTTTGAAGCTCTGAGAAGCATTTTAGGCTACTTTGTGTGTGCATACATGTTAAGTTGCTTCAGTTGTGTCTGACTCTTTGTGACCTTATGGACTGTAGCCCTCCAGGCTCCTCTGTCAATGGGATTCTCTAGGCAAGAATAAGGGAGTGGGTTGCCATGCCCTCCTCCAGGGGATCTTCCCAACCGAGGGATCAAACCTGTGTCTCTTGTGTCTCCTACATTGGCAGGCAGGTTCTTTACCACTAGCACCACTGACTAGTTCTTCCTAGAATATATATTTGGAATTTCTGGATAATAAACAAGTATGATCTCATAAAAACAGATAACTTGGACTAATCTTGGAATGGGAATTCTTTGAGACTTTATTGCTTAGTGTAATCCCATTTGTGTTATTACATTAGATAATTAAAAGCTGGCAAATTTTTCACTGGATGGATCAAAATAAACCTGTAGGAAAACCTGAACAAGTAGAGACACATTGAAACCTGCCTAACTAGACTGTTCTTCCCAAGGTCTTAAGGAATCTCTGAGCTCTAAGACTCTTAACTGGCCCAAAATACTTCAGTAGCTTCCAGCTGCTCACAGTTCACAGACCGAGTCCCCAGTCGGGCTGCAGGTGAACAGCCCTGCTCCCTGCCTTTGCCACAGCATCCTGCTGTCCCTCCAACCCAGACGTCACTGCTCTTAGCTGAACCCTGTGTGTTCCTTGTGACCACAGGGCTTTGACGTGTGCTGCTCCCTCTGCCTGGGATACTGCTTTCCCCATTTGTCAGCTCTTTACCCTTTACCTCTCAGCCAGAACATGCCTCCTCAGGCAAACTCCCCAAAACAGGACAGGATGCCCCTGGCCTACACACACCATGCACTCATCCTTCACAAGGTGAACTTTTATATTTATTTTGTCATAGGCCACCATCCCTAGCACTGAGCCCAGAGTGTGGTTTACAGGATCACAGAAACATATACTATATGAGTGATCCACTACTTGTATGATTATGCCCAGAACCTGAAATAATGGAGATATCATTATTGTTACTCAGTCTCTCAGTTGTGTCTGACTCTTTGCAACCCATTGGACTGCAACGTACCAGGCTTCCCTGTCCTTCAGTATCTCCCAGAGTTTGCTCAAACTCATGTCCATTGAGTTGATGATACAATGCAACCATCTCATCCTCTGTCACCATCTTCTCCTGATCTCAGTCTTTCCTAGCATCAAGGTCTTTTCCAATGAGTTGGCTTTTCACATCAGGTGGCCAAAGTATTGGAGCTTCAGCTTCAGCATCAGACCTTCCAATGAATATTCAGGGGTGATTTCCTTTAGGATTAACTGGTTTGATCTCCTTGCTGTCCAGGGGACTCTCAAGAGTATCTCCAGCACCACATTGAAAGCCTCAATTCTTGAGCGCTCAGCCTTCCTTATGGTCCAACTCTCACATCCATACATGACTACTGGAAAAACCACAGCTATATGAACCTTTGTCAGCAAAATGACATCTCTCCTTTTTAATATACTGCCTAGGTTTGTCATAGTTTTTTTTTACAAGATGCAATTGGATTGGTCAAAAAGTTCATTTGGGTTTTTCCATGGGCTGTTATGGAAAAACCCTAATGAACTTTTTTTTTTCATTTATTTTTATTAGTTGGAGGCTAATTACTTTACAATATTGTAGTGGTTTTGACTAACCCAATATAATAAAGGACATTTCTCCCTCCCACTGTAACAAACCACCCTACCCCGACCCCCTCCCCCTTAGCTGTACTTTAGATTTCCAAAGTTTGCCTGCCCCCCGGTAGAGCAACTG